CTAAAGTGCATTGAAAGTGGATTGAAAACACAACATTCAGTGTTCATGAATCACTAAAGTGCATCGAAAGTGGATTGAAAGTGCATTATTCAGTGTGTGTGGCTCACTAAAGTGCATCGAAAGTAGACTGAAAGCACATCATTCAGTGTGTGTTAAAGCACCGCAACACACTTACTTCGCTAAGGGGTGAGGCTTGAGTGAGGCTGCAAAGAGATAAAAATCTGGTCCTCATTTCCATAATTGCTGCTGCTGGATAAGTTAAAGCCAAATGGCAGGATCAAGTGCCAACACATTAAGTTTCAAGGAAGCTACAGCTCATAACGTATGCACAGCAGCGTTGCCATCCCCTGATTTGCTTAGCAGTCGAGCATACGCTTCGCCCGCAGAAGGCCCCCAGTCTGATCTTCAGCAATGCTGTTTAAGGATCTCAGAAGCAAGGCCAGGGAAGCCTCTCTGTCCAAGACTGGGGGCAGCTGCAACCTCGGTCAGCTCACGAGAAGGCAGCCTCTGAGGTTTCAACCCACATTGCCCCACAGAGCCAGTTTGGTGTAGTGGTTAAGTGCGTGGACTCTAATCTGGGAGATCCGGATTTGATTCCCCACTCCTCCACTTGCACCTGCTGGATGATCTTGGGCAAGCCATAGTTCTGACAAGAGCTGTCCTTGAAACAAGAGCAGTTTCTGTCAGAGCTCTCTCAGCCCCCCCCCCACCTCACAGGGTGTCTGTTGTGGGGGCAGGGGAAGGGAAAGGAGTTTGTAAGCCGCTCTGAGACTCTGAGTGAAGGGCGGGGTATAAATCCAATCTCTTCTTCTCTGAGCACAGGGGGCAGAACTCAGCATCCCTCCGACGGGGCCCACAAGCCCCAGCCAGTCGCGCTGCAGCTACTGCTTCCTCTCTCAGCAAAGCAAGAAGCAGGGGATGGTTTTTTCCCCAGCCAAGAGGCACCGGCGTTGACAGGACTGACAAGGCGGCTTCTTCCTCGCCTCTCCCCCCCCCCTCTTCAGCTGCTTACGCCACCCTGGAAGGAAAGCCCGTCAGCAACCCTGAGCTCAGAGTCACGGGCGCAGATAAGGAGAGCTGAGTCAGCGTGTCAGGAGACAGAAGATGCTGAATCAACAGGTTGCTGCCATGGCCAGGAACAACAGCTCGATGAAGACTGGCGCAAAGGGGCATCCACTGGATGCCATGCTGGGGGGGGGGGGGGGGGGAGGGGGGCTACCAGCTCAGGGATCTCCTGCATGGAGAGGGGCCACCCCTTTTGGGACAGGAGCCTCTTCCCCACCGAGGGGCTCGGAGGCACCCGAGCGGGGCACAGAGGGAGAAAAACAAGCCGGCGCCCACTTAAAGGGCTCCTTTATGAGCGGGGAGGGGGCAAGGTCCACCTCTATCTTGCCTCCTCGGTCTCTAGGTGTCAAAAGGAGACTAGATTTTTGCTGATCTGGGGACAGAGGGGAGAGCCGGATGAACCTCTGGCAGCAACAGGTAACAAAGGAATTCCCCTCTTGGGCAACGGGGCCAGGCCTGGGAGAAGCTGCCCTCCCCCACAAGGGAGTAGCCCCCCACAGCCTCCTCCTCCCCAGGCCTTTTTGCGCCGACCTGGGCTGCCCTGTGATGCCTCAGGCCTGGGGTAGGAGCCTTTTGTTTCTCTTCTGCTGACAAAAAGAGCCCGGAGCAGAAGTAGCAGCAAGGGAAACCACAAACCACCATCAGGCCACTGCCGCCAGGTCTCACGGTGAAGGAGGAGCGGGGAATCAAACCCGGCTCCCCAGATTAGAGTCCACCACTCTTAACCACCACACCAAGCTGGCTCCTGGAGGAGAAGCTGTTCCACAGAACCTATCTTTAACCAATGGAACTCCTTGCCACAAGATGTGACAGTCACTGGCAGTGTTCCCTCAAAGCTGAGTTAGTGTGAGCTAGCTCACAGCTTCCTAGCCTCTGGCTCACACATTTTTGTCTCCGCTCAGGAAGGATGCCTCCAGGGCAAACTGATTTATGCAGTAGCCAAGTCGCTCACTCACAACGTTTATGCCAGTAGCCCACAAAGTAGAATTTTGGCTCACAAAACTCCACAGTTTAGACGGAACATGGGAAGTGAGTTAGACACATCCCTAATGGAAAGGTGACTACAAGACCCAAATGAAACCTCCACGTTCAGCTGCAGTATTGCTGGTGCTGAAGAGCAGGGCAGGGTCCATGATACGACTGGAATGCCCCTGAAGGTTCTGGCTGAGTCCGTTGAGCTACAGTGGTCTGATTCAGTCTAGGCATTCCTTCAATGCGTCAACAGCTAAATGGGACCTCCCTGGGCAGAAGGAACTCTTCCCCCCTCCCTGCCCCAAGGGCACCACATGGTGTACCAGAGAGACCTCTGTCTCATCCACTTGGCATCTGCTCTCCCGCGTAGGTCAGGCCGCTTTTTGCTAAATCCAGGTCAAGACCGAAAGTTTCCTCTTGGTTTGAGCAGAGAATCCCCACAGATCCAGTGAAAAATTTACTTGGTGTCCAAAGTTCAGGCTTGATAATGCCAGAGGAAGTGACCAAGAACCAGGGCAAGGAAGGGCGGGAGAGGCGGTCTTGCCTGGTCAGCTATCCTGCCAGCATCAAAGTGATCACTTCATTCTCAACGGCTACAGCTTATCAGGAGAGAATCTAGGGGTTATCAGACCGAGTTATCACAGCCTCTCCACCCCCCCCCAGGAGTCACAAGTTACGCACTCCCTACAAAACCCACCCTATTATCTCAGAACAAAGCCCCTCTCCAGGACAAAAAAGAAGCCCCTGATCTCAAGAGGCATTATTGTCACAAGAGAGCTACGTTTGTTCTGGATAAGAGCTGCAGAGGATCCTGCTGGATTTCACATCCTCCACCCATTCCAGCTTGAGAAAGCCCACATTGCAAGCCCACCTCCTTTTCAGAAACTGAACCCATTAACACTTTTTGCATCTCTTTGGGTTTCCCAGCACTGAGATCTCCCCCAATTAATTTACACAATTTTCGTGCATCAAATGCCTACAGGCATGGTGCAAAAGAAGCATGTGAGCCAGAGAAGACAAGCAACAAACAGAGGCAAGAAGGTCACAAGGGCCAGCTACAAAGACAAGAAGAGACCAAAAGTGCAGATTTGTACATGCCGTCCTGAGAAGCATCAGTCAGGCCGCTCTTCAAAACAAGCTGCTCCTGGATTTGCATTAGAAAACCACACGGAGGAGGCTGTTCTGGCCTCCAGAGGGCCATTAGCTGCCTAGTGGCCAACATTAATGACCCGGATGACACCAGTCATTTCTGTCTCTGAACAAGCAAGTCTTCCTTCTAAGAAGCCTATTTATACAGCCCTTTGGGGGAGACTCTTCTCCATGAAGACAGGTGGGGATCCATGTTGGTCTGAAGCCGCAGAACAAAGCTTGAGTCCAGTGGCACCGCTAAGACCAACAAAGGTTAAGAGTAAGACCAGAAAAAGTTTAGTTCTGAATATAGGCTTTCATGTGCATACACACTTCTTCAGAAAAAGTGTGTAAGCACACGAAAGCTTATGCCCAGAATTAAACTCCATTGGTCTTAAAGGTGCCTCTGGAGTCAAACACTGTCCCGCCCTTCTCCACGTCACCCTCTGAACAACCCTGTATGGTCGATTAGGCCAAAAGAGTTTGACCAGCCCAAGGTGACCCAGAGAGCTTGATGGAAATTTGAACCCAGATCTCCAAAGCCGTTGCAGGGCTGCAATTTTTGATGAATCAGACCCCCCCCCACACACACACTCCTACTCAGGGGTCATTTCGTAGAAAAAGAGGTGCAGGAGCTCATTAGCATAACTCATTGGCATAACTTCTTTGCATATGCCACACCCCATGACATCACCGGAAGTGTGTCAGAAGGCAACACCCACCACTCAGGCTCCACTGGGCTGTTCTGGATTGCTAGCTATTGGGAGGGGGGGAGCGTGCAGGTCTGTCCTTGCAGAGGAGGGAGAGCTTGTGCCTGAATAAAACTTGGTCTTAAAGGTGCCACTGGACTATTTTGGACCGGGGGGGGGGGGGGTCTGCAACTTACCTGGCTGCTTCTTGCTCTGACTGAGGGCTGCTGGGAGCAGGGGGTGGGGCTTGTTGCATGTGCCTGCCCCCTGGGCTCTTTACTGCCGGAGCTCTGCTCCTGTGCACTCCTGCAGGAAATGACCCCTGCTCCTACTCCTAGAAAGGTAAGAAGCCTGCCACCCTCTCCCTGGGGGCTGATGGTTGTCCCGTCACCATCCCCATGATGTCTAATCATCACTGGCACTTTGCACAGAGGCAGAGGGGAGACAAGAAGAGGGAAACCGCAACTCCCCCAAAGTTCCGGAGCCAGATTACAGCCCGAGTCTTTCAAATAAATAGATAATAAGCAATTTAGGTAGTCTGTAAATCTGTTGTAACTCAAGGAGGCCTCCAGGCCACACCTGGAGGTTGGCAACCCTACCTAAGATGCAGTCAGCCATTGTGCTGCTTTTTTGCCATCTCTCAGTTTGCATAGTCACTTTGGGTGAGGGGAACGGGGGGAAACATAAGAACATAAGAGACAGCAATGTTGGATCAGGCCAGTGGCCCATCTAGTCCAACACTGTCACACAGTGGCCAAAAATACCAGGAGCCATCAGGAGGTCCAGCAGTGGGGCCAGGACACTAGAAGCCCTCCCACGGTTGCCCCCCCCCAAGCACCAAGAAGACAGAGCATCACTTGCCCCAGCCTGAGAGTTCCTATCTATCCCATGTGGCTAATAGCCACTGATGGACCTCTGCTCCATATGCTTATCCAATTCCCTCTCGAAGCCGTCCATGCTTGTAGCCCCCACCACCTCCTGTGGCAGTGAATTCCATGTGTTAATCACTCTTTGGGCGAAGAAGGGCTTCCTTTTATCCGTTCTAACCTGACTGCTCAGCAATTCCATTGAGTGCCCACGGGACAAAAGGGCCCCAAATCCAGCCCAGTGGCCCTTTGGCAGGGAGCCAGCACAGGTTTGCCTTACCTGGTGGGTGACACAGGTAGGAGTAGAAGCCTTCTGACTGGAGCATGAGGAGGAGCGAGGCCCAGCCCAGGAGAACGGCAGAGAAGAAGAGGTTCTCCACCACGGCTGTGCAGGCCATCCACCAGCGGCGCCGGTGGGCAGTGGCGAGCGTGGGGGCCATGATGACGGATTGGTTGTACGGGGAGGCCTTTTTCACCTAGACTCCTTCAGACAGAAGAGAACAAAAAGATATCTCTGAAGCAGCTTCTTCTCCACAGGGGAGCCCAGCCACACCCACCCCACACAATGCAAGGGTTTAACTGCAATAGGAATGCCAAGAGTGGCGAGAGTTGTATCTCTCTCACCACCTCTGATGTGCATGCACACAAACACACACAGAGTCCAGATTTTGAATGCCAAATCGGACCCACCTATCATGAACAGTATGTCTACGCATGCACGGAATGCGGTTGTATACATTACAACGCCATGACACTGGAAGCCACCACATTGAAAAGCAAACAGAAAAAGTCACACAACTTGAATTCAGGGCATCTTGTCGTGCCGGCTCCCTTGTTATACATTGTCCCGCCCAGAACAATACCGAGAGGCAACGTGAGGACAGCGAGAAGTGATGTCTGGGCACACCACAAGTACAATATCAGAACATGAACACAGCTGGAAGAGGAAGGGCTGCCCCTTTATCCCCACCCCTCATTCCCTTCTGAGCCTGGTGAGGGAAAGTACCATCAATTCAAGACAAGAAGAAGAGATTGGATTTATACCCCACCCTTCACTACCCAAAGAAGTCTCAGAGCGGCTTACAAACTCCTTTCCCTTCCCCTCCCCACAGCAGACACCCTGTGAGGTGGGTGGGGCTGAGAGAGCTCTGACAGAAACTGCTCTTTTTCAAGAACAGCTCTTATCAGAACTATGGCTTGCCCAAAGTCATCCAGCATGTGCAAGTGGAGGAGTGGGGAATCAAACCCGGTTCTCCCAGATCAGAGTCCGCGCACTTAACCACTACACCAATCTGGCTCTCAGCCCTGTATGGTTTTCAAGGCAAGAGACAAATGGAGGTTTCCCACTGCCTGCCTCTGTATAGTGACCCCAGAGTTCCCTGGGGGTCTGGTCTCCCATCCAGGTACTTAATGGAGCCAATCCCACTCAGCTTCCGTCCCCACAAAACCAAGCCACAGGGCCTGCAAGAGACACCTACTGCAGGGCAATGGAAACCTCGGATTTCAAGCCAACTTCACTTCGTCCTCCTGTCCCAAACCCTTGGGCAAAGGAAAAACAGAAGCTGCAGTCTGCACTCAGCTCTGGGGTGAAACATGCCAGCACAGCCAGGTCCGACCCCCAAGAAACAAAGTCCCAAACACAGTCTGTAGCAAGCAATGCACCAGTCTCATCTTTCCTGGCCACAACAACCCATGCAGCTCATGTTTACCCAGCTCATCTCTGAGAACCTTTGCCAGATTAAGGGGAACATTTTAGACCTAGTAAACAAGACACCAAAAGAGTCAACAGGGGCCACCCAGCCAGCAAAGAACTCAAACAGGAGGCTGCTGAACTTTCCACGAAAATCTGATACACTAAACTATGTTGCCTTCCCAGAAGACTGGGCAATAACAACTGTAACAGCCTTTTCTTTTTTTTTAAAGTAAGCTGGGGATAGACAGAGCTGTCCACAGTCCCAAGGGAATGGCAGAAAACATAATGAAAGCTCACCTGGAAAAACACATAGAGGGACAAGCCCTGCAAAGGAAAAGGTAGCTTGGCTTCAGCCGAGGAAATCCTGCCTGAGATCCTCTGGATTTGTCTGCAGGTCATCACAGCCAATCCAGTATAGATAATATAAACCCAGGTTTCCAAAAGAGAGCTTATGCTAAAGTCCCTCCAAAAAAAGACTCTTAAGGAAACACAGAAGAAGGTGGCTTGTTGATGGGTTAAGAAACAGGAAGCAGAGAAAAATATTTTCCCTAAGGAAGGGAACTGGGTTCCAGTGAGGGCCCACAACGACCACACTCACACAAGAAACCACCATCATTCGGGATCATGACAGAGATGTGTACTGATCTGGTGGTGACTCCCCAGAAAGAAACTCCAGGCTTTTGGTAGTCAGCACAAAAGAAACAAGGAGGGGTGGTGAGAGGACAGAATTCCATGCAAGAGGTTCTAAGGAAAGGGAATTAAAAGAGAGCAGTGGTATGGGCCACTTGTGCACTCACCTCAAAAAACAGGAAAAGATGCAAAAGTTGGCAGGCCCTCCCTACAGAGAAAGATTACAAAATCTGGGGCTCTTCAGTTTAAGGGTGGGGAAGTATGAAAAGGAGTAGCATGACAGACATTTACAACACTGTGACTATCATATAGAGGAAGTGGGCAGCTTGTTTTGCTTCCTTGCACTAGAACTTGGGCTGTCATTCAGGACCAAAAAAAGCAAGTTATTTCTTCATGCAGCGCTTAATTAACTTGCAGAATTGACTTCCCGAGATGTAGTCATGGCCACTGGCGTGGGCAAAACAGATTAGCAGAGAGGACTGATCTAACATTAAGGGTGAGCCAGGACCGCTTAAACAGAGCCTCCCCATTCAGAGGCAGTATACCTCAGTTGCCAGGGAAAGGCCTCCCGATTTTGCCGGCCAGCTTGCTGAAAGAATTGCGGGGAGGGGGGCAACAAGACAGACCACCTTGGCCTGATCCTGCGAGGTTAAGGCAAGAAGAAAGCAGCCGCTACTCCCTCTCCCTGTAGCCCCACTGCTCCGCCGGAATGCCCCCACTGTGGACCGGCAGAGTCCGAAGCGACCCCCAAATCGTTCCCCCTCCCCAGGTTTGTCTTCCTAGAAGTCCCGATCTCCGGCTGCCTCCGCCTGGGAGCAAGCCTGCGCTACGGCCCTCGAATGCAGAAAGGCGGGAAGCGGAGCGAGCGCAGCAAAAGCCCCCACCCCGTCCCGGGAAGGCCCGATCGGACGCCCCCGGGCAACAGCCCCGGCTTGCCAGCCGTGCTCGGGGAAGCCTTGCTGGAAGGGAACGAAGGGACGGTGCTTGAGGCCGGCGCGCCCCCACCCTCCAGCCCGCTGCAGGCGCGTCCCCACAGCCGCAGAGCGCGAAGGACAGCCGCGCACCGGCTTCACCTGGCTCCACTCGGCTCTCCCGGCCCCAGCAGTACCGCCACCGCCAGCCCGAGCTTCTCCCGGCGGCCGGCCGCGGCGCCTCCTTTATTCGGCTGGAGGGAGCCAAGAGGCGGGGCCGCTGATTGGTCCCCGGTCTGTTTCCAGCCCCGCCGCGGCCAATCAGAGCGCGCCCAGCATCTGCCGGCCTGGGCAAGGGATGGAGGTGCTGCCCGAGCTCGCGGGGCGGCCCGGGCCCGGAAGCGGCTCTCCAGGCATTGACCCGGGGGAGCGGCTTCTGAGCATGCACAAAGCGCCCCTGCCCGCTAGGCGGGGATGGCTGGCTTGGAGGCCTGCAGAAAAACGGCTCCCCTTCAGCGCGCGAAAGGGGGAAAGGGCCTTCCCGGAAGGCTGCGGGGCGTCCGCTTGCAAAGCCCGCCTTTGTTTTGCCCAAAGGGGGACCAACGTGGTCACCTCCAGTCCAATGGCACCTCCAGTGAGACCAATCGGCGGCGCCCAGATTGCGGTAAACACTCCAAATGCCCACAAGGTTCTTTGGGGGGGGGGGGGGGGGATTGAGGTGCTGCCAGGTGCTCCCCTCCCCCCGCACCTTTCCTGGGTGCCAAGTTTGCCAACTGCATTATCTTCCCAAGTTTTTGATCTGCCCCTTTTGCTAGGGGGTGTTTTACCAATGCGTGTGCTGCGGCTCATCTCACAGCCCTGGCCCACAATCGGGGCCCCTTTCGCCCGACACGGCAGAGTGCAGGATCTGGCTGCAGTCCAACTGCCCTGCTCTCGAAGGGTTAAACACTTTCCCAGATGAAATCTCAGAGGGGCACCCGTGTTGCACTGTGGCAACCTAAACAACAGAGGCTTCTGGTATCTTGAGAGACTAATTTATTGGGGCTGGTGCTTTTGTAGGACCCAGCTACGTGATGAAAGCCCTAACCTAAATGAGCTAGGCTGGCCTGATGTCATCCGATTTCAAAAGCTAAGCAGGGTTGGTCCTGGTGAGTTCTCGGATGGGGGACAAAAGTCCAGGTCCTGATGCAGAGGCACGCCATCGCAAACCACCTCTGTTAGTCTCTTGCCTTGAAGACCCTGCAGGGTTGCCGTAGAAGACAGCTGCAGCTTGACGGCACTTCCCTCCACCACCTGATGAAAACCTTTGTGTACCTGAAAAGCCTGCTTGCAGACCCCCAAGAGGGTTGCCAACTCCAGGCTGGGAAATTCCTGGAGGTTTTGGGGTGCAGCATAGGAAGAGTAATGGGAGGGTATACTGCATACAGTCCAGCTGCCAAAGCATCAGTTGCAGTTCCAAGATCTCCAGTCCTCAGCTGGAGGCTGGCAGCTCTAGCCCCAATGGATCCTCCTCATTTACTTGCTTTCTCGGGCTTCAGTAAGCGGGGAGGACTTCTCCAAGGCTCTTGCTGTGCCAGGTTGCTGCCCAGGCCAGCAAGATGCAGGAGGGCAGAGGCTCAGAAGCCAGCTGAGGAGTTGGCCGCCTTTGGGTGAACGGAGGGACACAGAAGCCACTCCCTTGGAAACAACAGGGCGAGACCAGTTTAGTCAAGCTGTAGCTGGTGCCAGTCAGCGGGCGCCCCAACACTTGGGCACCAGTGCCACCTACAGGACAAAGGCTTCCAGCAAGCAGACACAGACACATGAACACACGAAGCTGCCTTAGACTGAACCAGACCTTTGGTCCATCCTTCTACTGAATCAGACCATTGGTCCAACACGCTCAGACTGGCAGCAGCACTCAGGGTCTCAGACTGGCAGCAGCACTCCAGGGTCTCAGGCTGAGGTCTTTCCCGTTATCTGCTGCCTGGTCCTTTTAACTGGAGATGCCCAGGGATTGAACCTGGGACCTTTAGCGTGCCAAGCAGATGCTCTGCTGCTGAGCCACAGCCCCTCTTTAACCAGTACCCAGGCTCCTCCGGAAAGGCAGAGCTGCCTGGTGGCTGGAAAAGGACAGGTGTTCATGGATACTCCTGGGCTGAACCACCCTGTGGCGGTGGTTGAAGGCCTCCATCCCTGGCCTGGTGCTTCGATTGAAAACTGAAGGAGGCCCGGCCTGCTCACCAGGCCCATGGCCTTGGACTCTTTTCCCCTATAGGTACACAGACTGGCTGAGGCCTTGAAGTGATGTGGAAAATGCACTCAGTCTGTATATACTTGGCTGGAGGCAGGCCGGTAGCCAGGAAATTTTCGGTGGGGGTCACGACACTTCCTACATCACATGCCCAAGTCACTGGCGGTGCAGGCCAGTTTGGGGCCAGCACTTAGAGACTGGTCTCTTGGGGCCAGCACTCTTTAAGTGCCTGCTCCAAGCCCCACGGCCCTGCACAGCCATGTTTCTTTAAATACTGGGGTGTGCCACCACTGTGGGCTGGCACAGGAAGAGCTGGCAAGGTTGTGGCAGGTGGGGGTGGGTGGGTCTGGCATCCTCCCAGGGTGGGGCGGGGCTCATCCGTGGGGGGAATTGCCCCCAAAATGCCCCACCATACACTACTGGTGTCCCCATAACCCAAAGTGGGACAGCTGCCAAGGCCCAGACCTTCTAGCAAGGCATACTGCCACTGTCCCCCTTGCCCATGTGGCCACCATGCCCACTGGCTGAGCATGCTACCCAGCACCACAGGGAAAAGGCCTGCAGGTGTTGCATGTGGCTGGGAGCACAGGTAGCAGGAGAGAAGAACGCACAGCAGGACAGTGGTGGAGTCTTGTGAGCAAAAATCCTAACTTTGTGAGCTCCTGGCATTAAAGGTGGGAGCGAGCAATTTGGCTGCTGCATAAATCAGTTTGCTCTGGAGCCATCCTTCCTGAGCGAAGACAGAAAGGTGTGCACCAGAGGCTAAAAAACTGTGAGCCAGTGCTCACTAACTCAGCTTAGAGGGAACACTGGTGGAGAGCCAGAGAGGCAAATGAGCAGGTGCATGGGAAGAGGTGCAGTTGGGGTAGCAGTAAGCACAGGGTCACATTCTCACTTCCTGGGTCCCAGAGCAGAGTGCCTTCTTTGCTACAGCACCTGACACCTCCCCTGCCCAGTAATAATTATGATCATATGGCATTGTGTGTTTTATAGCCAGGAGAATCCTAAGATTGTCTGGCCGCCAGAGGTTCTACCTCTTTTAGTGTTATGTACCACTAGGTGATGAGCTAGACTTGTTTTTAAGGCAAGAGACGTTTCAGAGGTGGCTTGCCGTTGCCTGCCTCCGCATCACAGCCCTGGTATTCCTTGGAGGTCGACCTTCCAAATACTAGCCAAACCTGACCCTGCTTAGCTTCCAAGATCTGACGGGATCGGGCTATCCTGGGTCATCCCCTGCACAAATGGCTCAGATCACCTCTGACTGGACCTTTACAGCGAGCAAAACTATTTCGGATGCGTTGGTTCCCTCAGGGGTCCTCTGTGTAGCTCCCAGAGGGGTGTTACAGCGCAACAAAGCATACAGGCTGATTTACCTCAGTGAACACAAGACGCTCTGAGTGGCAGGACAGATAAAAGGCATTCCCTGTTTCGTTTATTTGAACTTGGAAGAGAGTACAGTGAACTTCGGCAAGGCCATTTTGAGAAGAGGCCGCAGATGGGAGAGCCCCTGGCTGGGAGTTGTTGCGAGAGAAGAACAGGTGTTACTTAAGGAACTAAAAATGTCGCCCCAAAGGTCTTGTTGCCACTGGAAGGGGGTAAGAGTCTCCAGCTGCTAGACACCATTGTTGCCGGGAAAGCCACTGAAGAGGATAAGAATGGGAGATGCAGGGGGGGGGCCTCTTATCTAGCACGTCTCCCCAAGAGCAGAGGGCACCAGCACAATATTAATTCTGGAGCATGGAGCTTGGACTCCCCTACCCCAAAACGTGAAGAAGAAATGCCCCTGAATCCCCAAAGGGATGCTGGATTCTAGCACATCAACTGAGAAGGCAACGGTTCTTTAACTTGTTCAGCTTGTGTGAGGTCTAAAAAGACCAAGGTGGGATGACTAGCACTGTTTGCGCACCTGTCCCTGCTGCTGGTTAAGACGCTGAACTGCAGGCTGTGGATGGTCAGTAGTTCAGCAGTTCGAGACCTGAGTGTGCCACATGATGGAGTGAGCTGCCATCTCTAGTTCCAGCTCCTGCCAACCTAGCAGTTCGAAAGCAAGAAAATGCAAGTAGATAAATAGGTACCACTTCGATGGGAAGGTAACAGCGTTCCGTGCACCTTGGTGTTTAGTCATGCCGGCCACATGACCACGGAAACGTCTTTGGACAGCGCTGGCTCTTCAGCTTTGAAACGGAGATGAGCACCGCAACCCTAGAGTTGGATTCGACTGGCTTTTGAGCAAGGGAACCTTTACCTTTTACCCTGTTGCTGCAGCAACCCAGCCAGCTGATAGGGTGAGGAGGGAGTAGGGATGCCAGCCTCCAGGTGGGACCTGGGGATCCCCCGGAATTGCAGCTGACCTCCAGACTACAGAAATCAGTTCCCCTGGAGGAAATGGGTATTGTCTCCTAGGTCCCTGGCCTCCCCAGGCTCTGTCCCCAAATCTCCAGGACTTTCACAACCTGGATCTGGCAACCCCACCCCCTATCCCCTGCCAGTGGCCAGGCAGGATCTAAGGACTTAGGGTGGGGTAGGGAAGCAATGCGCTGAGGGCAACCTCTTTCTTCGGCCTCTTCTGCTGCAGTCCGGTCTCTGGCCTCAAGCACACGAAGGGGTCTGCATCGGAGTTGCCACGGCTGGCCTAAGCCTTCGGCAGCAGGGCTCTGTTTTGCCCACTCCGCTGCTCCTGAAGGACTGCCTCTTGTCGGGAGTAAAAGGTGAAGGTGCCAGAGGATGAGAGAGATGGCCGGGTTCCTCCAGGACAGTCTAGCTATCAGAACATCCAGCTTCCAGGACAGGCTGTTCCCCAGGCCATCTCTGCTTCTCCGTTTGGTGTAGTGGTTAAGTGCGCGGACTCTAATCTGGGAGAACCGGGTTTGATTCCCCACTCCTCTACTTGCACCTGCTGGATGACCTTGGGCAAGCCATAGTCCTGTCAGAGCTGTTCTCTCAAGGACAGTTCTCTCAGAGCTCTCTCAGCCCCACCTACCTTACAGGGTGTCTGTTGTGGGGAGGAGAAGGGAAAGGAGTTTGTAAGCCGCTCTGAGACTCCTTTGGGTAGTGAAGGGTGGGGTATAAATCCAATCTCTTCTCTTTGTCATCTTCTTCCGTGGCTGTCCTAAAGTCGGGATGAAGGGTTTAGGTAGCTATGGGGAGATGAATCAACCCAGAGACGTTCTCATACTTCGGCTCCCGGGACTCCTCCATGGAAGCATCTCCTCCAGCTTCCGCCTCTGGCTGGCCGTGGCTTTGGCCGTGACGCTGATTCTGTCCAGCCTCCTCGCAGGTAGGAGCCGGCAGGCTTCCCAGAAGGCCCTGGGCCTCAGGGGACTTGGATTCTAGGTCAGGCTTGCCTTGGGAGGGCTGCCCCTTAGTACTTTGGTCTGAGTCTGAGGTCCTCTTGGGGGGCACCTGGAGGCCCTCCGTGCCCCGCCCGAGCTTGGGCCCCTCCCTCGGCAGGCTCCCCGGCTGTTGCTCTGGCCCTCTGCCCCTCCCGTCCCCTTTGCCCACCGTCACATAAATGGTAGTGAGACCTGGCTCTTTGCCCTGAGCAGACAGAGCTGCCTCCAGAGCTTCCACCCGCTGGGCCACGTGCCGGGAGCCGGAGACCCGTTTCCTGGGGCCGCCTGGGGTGCTCCGCGGAGAGGGCTTGTGGCCCTCCTCCGTCCACGAGCCGGCCTCCACGTTCTCATAACAGCACTCTGGCGGAGGGTCCTTTTCACCACCCTGGTGAAGCAAGGGAACTTGGGGGAAGCCCCAGGCCGCCTTTGGCTTCTGGGCGAGGTGGACGGTTTCTGCAGAGCCTCGGAGACTCTGAGGGACGAAGCAGGTGCCTTCGGCAAAGGACACGGAGGGTCGCTTGGCCTTGGCAATGCTGGACGTGCGAGGGATGGCAAAGGGTTCCAGGTTCAAGGCTGACACTTCGGGGAGGACGCCCGGCTGTGCCCCAGAGTCTGGAACTGAAAGAAAAGGGAGGGGTGGTCAGGAAGTGAAGATGAAGGAGACAAAGAAGAAGAAGACAATGAAGACGACGATGAAGAAGACGACGACTAAGAAAAAGCGGAAGGGATTGGATTTATACCTCACCCTTCACTCGGAGTCTCAGAGGGGCTTACAGTCTCCTTCCCTTCCTCTGCCCACAACAGACACCCTGTGAGGTAGGTGAGACGCCCTGAGAGAGGTCTGAGAGAACTGTGACTGACCCAAGGCCACCCAGCTGGCTGCATGTGGAGGAGTGGGGAATCAGACCCGGTTCTCCAGATTAGAGTCCGCCGCTCCTAACCACCACACCAAACTGGCTCTTCCCTGGGGTTTAGAACCTGCAGTTAGGCAGTGGTTGGGTGGAACTGTGAGGCATGCTGCCATCTGGGACCCCAAAGACTTTGGATACTTTGGCGGGGGAAGAGGCAGAAGGCAGAAAGCTGAAGCAAGGCCTTGGCACCTTTCTGCATCACACAAGGAGCCAGTTACAATGTGAGCCCAGCAGAGGTAAAGGTATAGGTTTCCCTTGTTCAAAAGCCAGTCAAATCCGACTCTAGGGATCCGGTGCTCATCTCCGTTTCCAAGCCAAAGAGCCAGCGCTGTCCAAAGACGTTTCCGTGGTCATGTGGCCGGCATGACTAGATGCCGAGGTGCACAGAACGCTGTTACCTTCCCACCGAAGGTGATACCTAGTTATCTACTTGCAATTTCTTGCTTTTGAAGGCTAGGTTGGCAGGAGCTGGAACTAGAGATGGGAGCTCACTCCGTCATGCGGCACTCGGGTCTCGAACTGCTGATCTACCAACCTTCCAGTCTGCAGTTCAGCATCTTGACCACTTGAGCCACTGCACCCCCTGAGCCCAGCAGAGGGAAGGTACCAAATTTCAGGTGGCACCTGGACATCTCCCAATATTACAGTTGACCTCCAAATGGCAGAGATCAGTTCCACTGGAGAAAATGGCTGGATCCAAGGCATTACCTCTGCTGAAGTCCATTCCTTCCCCAGACCCTGCCCTCCCAAGGCTCCACCCCCAAAATTTCCAGGTACTTCCCAACCCAGAGCTGACAACTCTAGCAGAGGGAAATGACCCTTACACACAATGGAAAACAAATCAGCCAGTATCATAATGCCCCTGTATGAATCGATGGTGCGACTTCATTTGGAATACTGTGTGCAATTCTGGTCACCACACCTCAGAAAGGATATTATAGCATTGGGAATAAGTGCAGAAAAGGGCAACTAGAATGATAAAAGGGTTGGAACCAGTGTTCCCTCTAAGCTGAGTTAGTGTGAGCTGGCTCACAGGTTTTTAGCCTCCAGCTCACAGATTTTTGTCTTAGCTCAGGAAGGACGGCTCCAGAGCAAACTAATGTATGCAGTAGTCAAATCGTCTGCTCACAACTTTAATGCGAGTAGCTCACAAAATAGCCTTTTTGCTCACAAGGCTCTGCAGCTTAGAGGGAACATTGGTTGGAACACTTTCCCTATGAAGAAAGGTTGAAGCGCTTGGGGCTCTTTAGCTTGGAGAAACGACGGCTGAGGGGTGACATGATCAAGGTTTATAAGATTATGTGTGGGATAGAGCAGGTCGAGAAAGAAGTCCTTTTCTCCCTTTCTCACAATACAAGAACTCGTGGGCACTCAATGAAATTGCTGAGCGGTCGGGTTGGAACAGATAAAAGGAAGTACTTCTGCACCCAAAGAGTGATTAACACATGGAATTCACTGCCACAGGAGGGGGCTGCAGCTACAAGCATGGACAGCTTCAAGAGGGAATTGGATAAACATCTGGAGCAGAGATCCATCAGTGGCTATTAGCCACAAGGTATAGATAGGAGCTCTCAATCTGGAGCAGGTGATGCTCTGTATTCTTGGTGCTTGGGGGGGGGAGCAACAGTGGGAGGGCTTCCGGCCCCACTCCTGGACCTCCTGATGGCACCTGGTATTTTTGGCCACTGTGTGACAGAGTGTTGGACTGGACGGGCCATTGGCCTGATCCAACATTTGGCTTCTCTTATGTTCTTATGTACCTGCATCGGTAGGGAGGTGGCAGGCCGGTGCTTCATCCTCATCTGTGTCGGAGAAGGAGCTGTCCATGGGCCAGGCAGCGGAAGGGGGCTCCAGGAAGCTGGGGGTGAAGGGGATCTCTGCATCGTGGTGGGAGACTGCCCGGGTGGGAAGGAGAGAGGCAAAGAAGAAAAGGGAGAGTGAGCACAGTCGGGTCAGAAGGCCCTTTCCCTGCAGCTCCCCAAGCGTGGGCAGCTTCTCCTGCCCACTCCACTTCAGATCTTGCCAGCCAAGGAGGAGGCCGCCAGTCATGTCTTGCCTGTGGAATGTGCCCTGTCAGCTTGTGGGACCTCCAGGGAAGGTCAGACTTGTTTGTGCTGGGGAACAGCCACAAGTGCCAGCTCTGCAGGTGCAAGATTCAGTTTCCTGATCGGCCAGGGAAAGGGTGGGGTGGGGGGTAAAGTATGCTTTGCTCCTGCTCCTAAGTAGCCAGAGTAAAATAAATTACACAACGTAAGCAGAAATATATCGATTTGCTTATGATGAGCCGGTGCGTGGGTCACAAATGGGATCATGGTTCAGATCTCTTCTCAGCGCAGATTGCTGTGAGAATAGAAAGAAAGGACCCACTCAGGTGTCAAATGAATCAATGAAACTGTCTAACACTGAACCGGGCCATCAGGACCAGGTATGAATAAATATTCTAATCTGATCTGGTAAGAAGAAGCAGGGGAAGAAGAGAGAAAGGGGAGAGGAGGAAGAAAAAAGGCGAAGGAAAAAGGAAGACATGTACGAAGTTGAGCCAAAACCTGCAGTTTTCTGCAAGGAAATCTGTTTATTCGATTTCCACTTTGCCCTTTCTGAAAGGGTCTTAGGGAGGGGCCGTGGTTCAGTGGTAGAGCGTCTCCCTTGAACGCAGAAGGTCCCAGGTTCAATCCCCAGCATCCCCAATTAAAAAGGATCAGGCAGCTGGTGATGAGGAAAACCTCAGCCAGAGACCCTGGAGAGCCACTGCCAGTCTGAGTAGGCAAGACTGACCTTGACGGGACCAATGGTCTGATTCAGTGTAAAGCAGAACAAAGTGTGAGTCCGGTGGCACCTTTAAGACCAACAAAGTTTTATTCAAGGCTCATGAAAGCTCATACCTTGAATACAACTCTGTTGGTCTTAAAAGATGCCACTGGACTCAAACTTTGTTCTACTGCTTCAGACCAACAGGGCTGCCCACCGGAATCAGTATAGGCCGTTTTCATGTGTGTTCATGTGACCTACTTGGCTGGGGCCCAATCCGGTTGGGTCACTGGAGCACAGCGCCTGATGCTGCCCTGGCCCAGAGCGCCACCTGCTGGTCCACCTCTCTCAAGATTCTCAGGCTCATCTCAGCTCTTGCAGGGCCAGGGCTTCTGTCCTTATCAGGCCAGCCACAATCGATGCCCCAAGACACGCCGACTTTTCCACACAGTTTTAGAGGCTGTGAATATGCGCTTGACCTTTCTCACATGTATGTTTACAACGAATACTGAGTTCGGTTACTCAGCCCAGGCCTGGCCACAGGAGACACTGGACTCCAGACTCTCTTCTCACCTGTCACCCGTGGAAGCTTGTAGCCCCCCAAAGAGAAGCAGGGGAAGGTGGAGTGGAGGTTAGCCAGCGCCCCCTGCACATGGTGCTTCACCTGGGAGACTGGGTCCCCATCTGCAGCGGCCACCCTAGGAGAGGAAATTAACAGACATGGATTTCACACCAACAGTGCACCAGGAATACAGGAGGTAACATAACTCTTTCTGCCGCTCCAATGCTTTTCTGCCACAGGGAACCAGAACAGGTGGTATGGGCCCAATTTTACCCCCCCCATCCTCCCTGAATGTACAGGGGTGTGGATATGATTGACTACTCCTCTGTTCAAAAATTCTTTCACGTAGAAATCTAGCCTGCTTCTTGGCATGCTGCTTTTCCACAGGCAGGGAATTTTGTGCATGGAGAGACATTCCATCCTCCATTTTAAAATCCTTTCATGTAGAAATCTAGCCTGCTTTTTGGCGTGCTGCTTTCCCACAGACAGGGAATTTTGTGCATGGAGAGACATTCCATTCTCCGTTTAAAAATCCTTTCATGTAGAAATCTAGCTTGCTTTTGGCGGGCCACCTTTCCACATGCAGGGAATTTTGTGCATGGAGAAACATTCCATTCTCCATTTAAAAATCCTTTCATATAGAAACCTAGCCTGCTTTTTGGCATGCTACGTTTCCACATGCAGGGGATTTTGTGCATGGAGAAACATTCCATCTGTTTAAAAATCCTTTCATGTAGAAAACTAGCCTGCTTTTTGGCATGCTGCTTTTCCACATGCAGGGAATTTTACACACGGTGACACATTCCATCCTGCCTGGTCTCTTTCTGAACTCAGGCCAGGCACCTGAGCACCTCCATTGTTGCCCCTACCCACCTGGCTACCTGTCCAGTTTGCTGACAGAGGTGTTTTCTACATGCCAAAGGTTCTATACACCAAAGCTTCTGAAACTGCCAGTTCAATGCAGTGGCAATATGGCTTCCATGTGCCCCACATTTCCCCTGCCCCAGACCTCTATGTCAGCCTCTCCCTGCCAGCAGCACCACTGGGTGTCTTTTTTTAAAAAACTGGTTAACTGTCAAGTCTCTATAGCTTTTTAACACTATAGCAATTTGCCAACTCCAAGTCAAGAGCTGGGTAACAGCACAGCATGTGACAAGGGGGGGGGGTGGATCCCATTACACTTCCCCGCCCCTACTCTCAGAGGAAATGGCCCCAATGTGGATGGGACAGGGAAGGATCTAGCTTTTCTCATCCACCCGGCTTTGCTGAGTTCTTTTTGAAAAGATCGTAGTAAAGCAGGTTTAAGAGAGCAGAAAAACTGGAAAGTGCTTGAAAGTACCATGATGCCATGTGGAAGTGGGAATGAACCCATTTCCTGTTAGCACTGGAGGCAGAACAAATGCTCAGTGTAGAAGTGAGGACAGACAGCAACCTATGAGCTGACAAGGGGCACTGGCCACTGGAAGCTAAGCAGCGTCAGCCCTGGTCAATATTTGGATGGGAGAGCACTGCAGAAGTCCAGGGTTGTGAGGCAGAGGCAGGCCATGGCAAACTTCCTCTGTTAGTTCCTAGCCTTGAAAACCCTACAGATTCACCATAAGTCAGCTGCGACTTGACAGCAAAACAAAACAAAACAACAGTAGCCCAAATCTGGCGCCTAGTGATGCACCACTTAATCCATAAATTGCCACCTAATCTCCCCCCCCCCCCCCCCCCCCCAATTCCTCCTGTCTGTAGAGAAAAATACGGTAGGAGGACAAAGGTATGGGAAAAGATGTTGGATATTGTAATTCTGCATGCAAGAGGATCTGGCCGCACTGGTGGACCTCTTGAGGGACCCTGGTTTTTGGCTACTGCGTGACACAGAGTGTTGGACTGGACGGGCCATTAGCCTGATGCAACATGGCTTCTCTTCTGTTCTTATGTTCTATGGTTACACTTGGCAGTTGACCCCAACCTCTCATCAGTTAGATGCTTAGCCTCTTTGGCCATGGATTGCCTTCTGTTTTTCATCTTATATGAGACCTTCTCTCTCTTAACTGGGATTGGAGCTGTAGCAAGTTAACCTTTTTTACAGTTAATCTGTTCACAATAAGTTAAATGTACCTACATGAACATGTCATGTAAGATGTGCTTCTATATTTGTAAGTAAAATTTCTTTCTCTTGTTACCATTGGAGTCAGATCATCTTTGTAATTTGTTTGAACAGCATTTCCCCCTTCACTGGGAAACGTGGAGGATCGGGGATACTGCGTAAAGCTTCGGTGCTTCTAAAGCAAATGATTTATTTATTTTTACATTTAACCCAATAGAAGAAGGGGAGGATCTGTGGTGCTCCCTTTTGACTGCTGTCTCCACTGTAATTTAGCCCCTCTAAGTGTTTTAGATAAGGGCTTCACACAGCACCTGGCGCAGTTGGTGGCTCGATGCAAGTACCTGTCATTGGTGGCCATTGGAGCTGATCGGCAGCAGAAGCAGCAGCAGATGCAGAGCAGGAGGAGCAGCAGCAGTGGGGTCAGGATGCCCGCTAGAAGGACTTCTTGCCTCTTGCCTCCTGGAGGAAGAACGGAAGTCAGACAGAGCAGGGAACATAACCCCCAGCGATGTGGCTGGTCCAGGATCCCAGGAGGCACTAGCCACCTCCACACTGCAAATTCAAACCAGGGACAGCCCCAGGTCCCACGAGAGACAAAAGGTCACTTACTCCACTGGCAGGCCCCAGAAGATGGGTGGCACAGGCCCCCAGGGCAATGGCAGACCTCGGAGCAGTTAGGCCCATAAAACCCATCCGGGCAGGTCTGGTTGCAGCTGCAAGGAGACAGAATGACATGGCAAGTTCCCAGTTGCAGCCAAGCAGCCTGGGCAATGGCACTGCCCCACCCACCTCCATACACCCCTTTTACCTAGTGCCCCGGTACCCGGGCTGGCACACACACGCCCCAGACACTGGATCACAGCTCCCGTTGAAGCAGCTTGGACAGACAAGGAGGCAGCCTTTCCCAAACAAGCCGGGGGGACAGGGCAAGTCACACCTGTGGGGAGAGAGAGGGGGCGGGAGAGAGTCTTGTTCCTCAAAGTGACTGGACTATGTTGCTACTACTCTACTATGTTCTGGGGTGGGGGGGGAGCCCTTGTTGGAGGGCCACACCAAACAGCTGAACCTGCACCTCCATCCCATCACACCCTCCCTGGCCTCTGCCCTGCCTCCTTGTGAGACCGTGCATGCATAGAGTTGCCTCCAGCTATCGTATAGGTGGGGCGGGGCCTAGGCCCCCATTTTTAGGGGCAAACTGGGTCCCTACCTGGCACCTCAGAAGCCTGGTCCAGTTCCGGCCTAGGCCCCCATTTTTAGGGGCAAACTGGGTCCCTACCTGGCACCTCAGAAGCCTGGTCCAGTTCCGGCCTAGGCCCCCATTTTTAGGGGCAAACTGGGTCCCTACCTGGCACCTCAGAAGCCTGGTCCAGTTCCGGCCTAGGCCCCCATTTTTAGGGGCAAACTGGGTCCCTACCTGGCACCTCAGAAGCCTGGTCCAGTTCCGGCCTAGGCCCCCATTTTTAGGGGCAAACTGGGTCCCTACCTGGCACCTCAGAAGCCTGGTCCAGTTCCGGCCTAGGCCCCCATTTTTAGGGGCAAACTGGGTCCCTACCTGGCACCTCAGAAGCCTGGTCCAGTTCCGGCCTAGGCCCCCATTTTTAGGGGCAAACTGGGTCCCTACCTGGCGCCTCGGAAGCCTCATCCAATGTTCCAGCCTAGGCCCCCATTTTGAGAGGCAAACTGGGTCCCTACCTGGCGCCTCGGAAGCCTCATCCAATGTTCCAGCCTAGGCCCCCATTTTGAGAGGCAAACTGAGTCCCTACCTGGCGTCTCTGAAGCCTAGTTCACAGTTCCGGCCTGGGCCCCCATTTTGAGAGGCAAACTGGGTCCCTACCTGGCGTCTCGGAAGCCTAGTTCAGTTCCGGCCTAGGCCACCATTTTGAGGGGCGAACGGGGTCCCTACCTGCTGCCTCGGAAGCCTGGTACACAGTTCCGGCCTAGGCCACCATTTTGAGGGGCGAACGGGGTCCCTACCTGCTGCCTCGGAAGCCTGGTACACAGTTCCGGCCTAGGCCACCATTTTGAGGGGCGAACGGGGTCCCTACCTGCTGCCTCGGAAGCCTGGTACACAGTTCCGGCCTAGGCCACCATTTTGAGGGGCGAACGGGGTCCCTACCTGCTGCCTCGGAAGCCTGGTACACAGTTCCGGCCTAGGCCACCATTTTGAGGGGCGAACGGGGTCCCTACCTGCTGCCTCGGAAGCCTGGTACACAGTTCCGGCCTAGGCCACCATTTTGAGGGGCGAACGGGGTCCCTACCTGCTGCCTCGGAAGCCTGGTACACAGTTCCGGCCTAGGCCACCATTTTGAGGGGCGAACGGGGTCCCTACCTGCTGCCTCGGAAGCCTGGTACACAGTTCCGGCCTAGGCCACCATTTTGAGGGGCGAACGGGGTCCCTACCTGCTGCCTCGGAAGCCTGGTACACAGTTCCGGCCTAGGCCACCATTTTGAGGGGCGAACGGGGTCCCTACCTGCTGCCTCGGAAGCCTGGTACACAGTTCCGGCCTAGGCCACCATTTTGAGGGAAGAACGGGGTCCCTACCTGGCGCCTCGGAAGCCTGGTTCACAGTTCCGGCATTCCCCCGTTTGGGGGTGACAAGCCTCCCCTTGGTAGCAGCGGGGGCAGAGCTCTGCACAGTTATCCCCATAGCGCCCCAGGAGGCAGAGTTGATTGCAGCGGGTCCCATTCCAGCCAGCATCACAGGCCAAGCAGAATCCATCTACCGGAGAGCAAGGCTGTCTCTGCTTGCAGTGGCCGCAGCTGTGTGGGTAGAGAGGAAGAGTGGTCAGCCAACCCCCCCAGGCACTGGTGTGGGATGGGGGGTAGGGTTGCCAGATCCAGGTTGAGAAACTCCTGGAGATTTGGGGGATGGAGCCTGGGGAGGACCAAGACCTCAGTGGGGCCCAGTGCCATAGAGTCCATCCTCCAAAGCATCCATTTTCTCCAGGGGAACTGATCTCTGTGCTCTGGAGATGAGGTATAATTCTGGGGGATCTCCAGGTTCCACCTAGAAGCTGGCATCCCTAGCCTCGCAGCTTCAGCGGGATCAGTGCCACAAATGACATCTGCTGGGCCAAGGTGTGCTTTAAAAACAGGGCGATCTCGGAAGCTAAGCAGGGCTGACCCTGGCAAGTAATTGGAAGGGAGACCTCCCACTGCTGGACCTCCTGATGGCACTGGTATTTCTGGCGACTCTGTGACACAGAATGTTGGACTGGATGGGCCTTTGGCCTGATCCAACATTGGCGTCTCTTATGTTCTTATATTCAAGGAATACCAGGGCCAGGACGCAGAGGCAGGCAACCAAGCCACCTCTCTGAAACGTTTAAAAACTCCACTAGGGGTCGCCATGACTTCCAGACATGCAAGCACATACATACACACACACACAAACCGCCCCCCCCAAAAAGAGGGCAAGCTTTCTAGTGCCTTCCTCAGGGAACATGAGTAGAGAATTGCTGTGTATGCTGCTGCTTCACAAGACTTCCCGTTCTGTAATCGGACACATGAAGCTGCCTTATACTGAATCAGACTCACCCCTGGACCATCAAGGTTAGTATTGTCTACTCAGACTGGCAGCGGCTCTCCAGGGTCTCAGGTGGAGGTCTGTCACTTCCTACTTTGTCCTTTTAACTGGAGATGCTGGGTACTGAACCAACTGGAGACCTTCTGCGTGCAAAGAGCCATGGCCCCTCCCCAGATCTAAGAATCCTCGTCATGCAGTCTCGTCCCATTCAGACCAATGGGCATTCTGCATCTATTTTTGCAACTGGATCGCCATGCCTCTTTGCCTCTGCAGAGGGGCCAGCCCAGGGTCACCAGTTCTGTGTCTGGGGGTCGAAACAGAGTGTCTTTTTCTGGCCACTCACCTGTATCTGCACTGCAGCCCAAAGGTCCCAGCAGGACAGGGGTCCGTACACCTCTGGCCCTGGTAGCCGGCATCACATGTGCACTGTCCGTCTTGGGGGCTGCAGGTCCCATGCAAGCACTGGCACTGCTGCTGGCAGGATGGCCCCCACGTCCCTGCCCTGCACTCACATCGGCCAGTCTCCTGGGCACAGGGTGAATGGTTGCAGTGGCAGGGAGAGGAGCACTTCCTGCCCCACCATCCAGGGTCGCAGAGGCAGCGACCAGTCGCTGGGTCACAACGAGAGCCGGCCAGGTTGCACTGGCACTGCTTCTTGCAGTCCGGCGCCCACCAGCCTTGCTTGCAGTGGCAGGTTCCAGTGAGGGGGTTGCAGTGGCCATGGGGGCCACACTGGCAGGCAAACTGGCACAGCGCCCCCCAGCGGCCGGGGTGACAGGTGCACTCTCCACTGGCTGGATCACACTTCCCGTAGGGATAGCAAAGGCAGCGCTCTTTGCAGTCGGGGGCCCAGTATTCATCAGGGCAACCTGCACGGGAATGGAGATTGTGAGAAGGAACCACGGGGAGGGTCCTGCAGTCCTCGACTCCACCGAATGGCAGCCTCCAAACTGGAAGCCAGAATAGAAGGAATTTTATTTTTTTTATTTCACTTTTACCCCGCCCTCCCTGCCAGGCGGGCTCAGGGCGGCTTCCAAAAACTGATAAGCAGTATACATTTTGCAGTAATAGAATAAAATACATCATTTAAAAACATAGACAAGTCAATATAAAACATTCATTCGATGGCGATAAAAATAAAGTGCAGTTCAGGGACACATTCAGCGGTGCCACCGCATTAGGTCATGTTGGATCGGAGTTCACACAGGGCACTGCTGGTAGGACGTCGCTCCTAGCGGAACGCCTGCCTAAAAAGTTCTGTTTTCACGGCCCTGCGGAACTGTGACAAGGAAGGACCAAAGAAAGATGACGGGTATCAGTCTGCCTATTGGGGTATCTATACCCCATTTTTCTCCCCAGTGGGAACCCAAAGCAGCGTACAACATCCGGCTTGCCTCCTTCATTTTATCCTCACAACAATTTTACATAAGAACATCAGAAGAGCCCTGCTGGATCAGACCAGTGGTCCATCTAGTCCAGCATCCTGTCTCACACAGTGGCCAACCAATTTCTCTGGAGGGACAACAACAGGGCACTGAGGCTGAGACGTTCCCCTGATGTTACCTCCTGGCCAGTGTTCCCTCTAAGCTGAGTTAGTGTGAGCTAGCTCACAGTTTTTTAGCCTCCGGCTCACACATTTTTGTCTTAGTTCAGGAAGGAATTTATGCAGTAGCCAAATCACTTGCTCAAAACTTTAATGCCAGTAGCTCACAAAAGTAGAATTTTTGCTCACTCCACAGCTTAGAGCAGGGGTGTCGAACTCATTTGTTATGAGGGCCAGATCTGGCATAAATGACACCTTGTTGGGCAGCGCCATGTGTGTCATAAAATGTAATGCCAGGTAGCGGAGATATAAACTTTATAAAGAACACAAACACAAAGGAGATTTTTTAAAATTTAAAATAAAAACACACTTAAAACATTAGCACTCCTGCAATATTTTGTTTATTTAACAATGTCTGATAACTGACTGAATTATTGCATCAAAATGTCTGTGCTGTTGCAATCTTGCTGTTCAGGTGTGTATCCGTAAGCTGCAAACCTACAATGACGCAGCAGCAGCAGAACTGGAAGAAGAAGCAGAAGACAGCCAGTTCCACTGGGCCTCATAGAAGCCCTCCGGGGGCCTGATCCGGCCCCCAGGCCGCATGTTTGACACCCCTGGCTTAGAGGGAGCATTGCTCTTGGCCCTGGGATACAGAGGTTTAATACCTCTGAATGTAGAGGTTCCCCTCAGTCACCAAGGCTAGTAGCCATTGATAGACTTATCCTCCATGAATCTACCTAATCCCCTTTTAAAGCTGTTTATTCCTGTGGCCATCACTACAATTTTAAAATAAATTTTATTGGTTTTCACTTTATTTATAGCCCACTTTTCTCACTGAGACTTATGGTGGGTGACACACAATGTTCCCTCTAAGCTGTGGAGTCTTGTGAGCAAAAATTCTACTTTGTGAGCTCCTGGTATTAAAGTGTGCGATATGGCTACCGCATAAATTAGTTTGCTCTGGAGGCATCCAAAAATCTGTGAGCCGGAGGCTTAAAAACTGTGAGCTAGCTCACACTAACTCAGCTTAGAGGGAACACTGGACCAGAATCTTCCATGTTGGAACCAGGGGTTTCCCAGGCCCTACTCCTGTCAAGCTCAGGCCACACTCAAGTTAACTTTTGTTTCTTTAGGTCTCGCTTTTCTCCTTTCCCTTCGCTTGTCATGATGAATTCCTGAGGAGGTGGTCTGTTGTGGGACTGCATGGGGGTAGTAGCCATAACCGTTTCTTAAGCTGTGCCCCAGGAGTTGGTTCTCATGAGATCAACCTTGGAGACTCTTTTGCCTAGCTGGGTTACATAGGGCACCATATATCTGTTTGTGTTGCCATATAAATGCCCGGGGGGGGGGGGAGGTGTGACATATGCGTGTGTGGGGTTTTGTGCTTTTACCTATAACCTGTGATTTCCCGCGGTTTTCTTCAGTCCTAACAAAAGCTCTTGCACCTACAGCAAGCATATCTCTAATAAAGCATTTCACTGCCAATAGTGTGTGTGGAGAGTGTCTTAGCTGGGGACCTGACAACTCCAGGGGTCCCCAAGAGTCCTAAACCCTTCCATCTTGTCAAATCCAGCCTTGAATTCCTACTTTGCCACAGACGCTTGCTGGGTGACCCAGGGCCAGTCACACACTGCCAGTTTAACCCACCTCACAGGGTTATTATGAGGATGCAATGGAGGAGAGGAGAACAATGTGAGCCCCTTAGCAGTGTTCCCTCTAAGCTGAGCTCACAGTTTTTTAGCCTCCAGCTCACAGATTTTTGTCTTAGCTCAGGAAGGATGGCTCCAGAACAAGCCAATTTATGTAGCAGCCAAATTGCTGGCTCACAACTTTCATGCCAGTGGCTCACAAAGTAGAATTTTTGCTCACAAGATTCCATAGCTTAGAGGGAACGTTGGGTCTCCACCTGGGGAGAAAGGTGGGGTGTATGAACTACCCTCCTCCTCAGGCAGGAGGACAGCACTGAGCAGGCCTGTTCCACAGCTGGACCCTCCATCTTATTGGGATATTTGGGGAGTATGGCAGAGTTTTGCCCAGTCACAGAAGCGTGATCCTGCGTGCAGTCAATAAAGCTCCCAAGAAGTATATTGCAAAAAAGGTAAATTTACACTTATTCAAGTAGATTCAGTTCACATTCAGGTTGCAGGTGGAAGAAGAAGAAAAAGAAGGAAGAGGAGATTGGATGTATACCCCATGGCCCTTCACTACCCGAAGGAGTCTCAGAGTGGCTTACAATCGTCTTTCCCTCCCCCTCCCCACAACAGACACCCTGTGAGCAGTGTTCCCTCTAAGCTGAGTTAGTGTGAGCTAGCTCACAGTTTTTTAGCCTCCGGCTCACAGATTTTTGTCTTCGCTCAGGAAGGAGGGCTCCAGAGCAAACTCATTTATGCAGGAGCCAAACCGCTCGCTCACAATTTTAATGCCAGGAGCTCACAAAGGAGAATTTTTGCTCACAAGACTCCGCAGCTTAGAGGGAACATTGCAGGCTGTGAGGTGGGTGGGGCTGAGAGAGCTCTCCCGAGAACTGCCCTTGAGAGAACAGCCCTGAGAGAACTTGTGACCAACCCAAGGTCACACCAGCGGCGGCATGTGGAGGAGTGGGGAATCAAACCCGGTTCTCACAGCTTATAGAGTCTGCGCCCCTAACCACTACACCAAACTGAAAGAGAAGCCTAATCCAAAGAGTACTTTCCCTTTCACAAATGGCCAGCTAATCCAGCATCATGTGCGTGGACGTAGGAGGGAACTGTAACCGCGGGAGAGACCTGCAGAGACATGTGTCCCCAGGGAAGGCCATGTGCTGAAGTGAGAGGACAAAAACAGCAAGCGTCAGAGAGCAGTTCCCAGGTTAAGACAAAGAGGCATCCCATTCAAGGAGATAAGACCAGTACATGCTTAGAGTAATGTAGCACCCCCCACAATGTCCAGGCGTGCTGAATCGCTCACTCCAACACATTCTCAGCGACCACAGCCTTCAGCCACATGGGGACCCCTGGGACCCCAAAACTGCAGGCCCTGGCAAGAAATGCGTGGGGGGGAATGCGGCAGATTTCACAGCTGCATGGGACTTTCAGTCCATAAATAACCAACTTCCTGCTTTGCATACTCCCCCTCCCTCAAGTGAAACTCACGTGTAATACAGTTGGCCCCAAAGAAGCCAGGCTTGCAACGGCAAAGACCAGGTCCCACGCATACTTCCTCTTCTTGGCACGCAGAGTCTCCTTCGCAAACGGCTGGCAAGGGCACAAGAAGACGCGTGGAGGTGTCAGGGCTCTGGTCATGTTGGCATGAAGAGCCCAGCCACGACTGGGCCCTGTGCACCGATTTCCTCATTTGCCCAGGCCAGCAGCTGGCTAGAGTCTAGGGCTGCCAATTCCCAGGTGGGGCCTGGGGCTCTCCCAGCATTACAACTGATAAAAAAGGAAGTAGTTCTTCACCCAAAGAGCGATTAACACATGGAATTCACTGTCACAGGAGGTGGCGGCGGCTACAAGCATGGATGGCTTCAAGAGGGAACTGGATAAACATATGGAGCAGAGGTCCATCAGTGGCTGTTAGCCACAAGGTATAGATAGGAACGCTCAGTCTGGGGCAAGGGATGCTCTGTATTCTTGGTGCTTGGGGGGGGGGGCAACAGGGGGAGGGCTCCTAGTGTCCTGGCCCCACTTCTGGACCTCCTGATGGCACCTGGTATTTTGGGCCACCGTGTGACAGAGTGTTGGACTAGATGGGCCATTGGCCTGATCCAACACTGGCTTCTCTTATGTTAACTGCTGACCAGGCTGGAGAGATCGCTTCACCCTTGAGAAAAATGACTGCTTTGGAGGGTGGGCTTCATCTGGTTCCTCCCATTGCCCTCTCCAGGCTCCACCCCCAAATCTCCAAGAATTTCCCAACTGCTCTATCCCACTAGAATCCGGCTTCTCCCACCATCCCTCAGGAACCACCTTTTCAAGCCTGGCTTAGGCTGAATGCGAGGCAGAGGAGAGGAAAGTGGGGGGGGGGAGACAATAGAAAAGAGAGATGGACAGAGGGGGACCAAAGCCCCCACACTCACCCACTGTGCACTCTCGGCCTTCTTGCTTCCAGCCAGAGCAACAGGTGAGAACGTGGGTGTGGCTGGCAAGGACAAGAGAGAGGGGGGGAGTCACAAACCCCCTCTTTATTCTAGCCCCACAACTGCTGCTTGGAGGAGAACCACCAACATGGCACTTTGCCAGCTCCAGGTGTTTGATGACCACACTCGCCCCCCCCCCCCCATGCTCACTCAAGAAACCGCAATTCCTATTCCAGGGGCTCTGCCGGTTGGTGCCTTCTTCCTGATTATTAGGGCTGCCAACCTCCAGGTGGTGGCTGGAGATCTCCCGCGATTACAACTCATCTCCGGGCGACAGAGATCAGTTCCGTCGGAGGAAATGGCGGCTTTGGAAGGTGGACTCTATGGCATTAGACCCCACTGAAGCCCCTCCCCTCCCCGAACCCTGCCCTCCTCAGGCTCCACCACCGAAATCTACAGTTATTCCCCCTCCCCCAGAGCCGGCAGCCCTACTGTTTATTGCGGAAGGTCCCAAACATTTCATTTCTCGCTTGTGCTCTTGAAAAAAGTGACCGCAAAGTCCCGCAAAGCAGGAGAACTTTGATAAGAGCCGAGGTGTCAGTTCAAAGCGAAACATCACGCTCAGCTCTTTGGTAAGGTCACAAAAAAAAAACACTAGTAGAAAAGGGTTTTATATGCTTTTTGGAACTTTGAAACGGAGCATACCTGGACTGACACAGACCGGTAGGAAACGCAGCACAAAAGGAAGCACAGAAAATGAAGTTTGGGGACCCCACCACCAAACAGGCAGCACAGCATCACACACAACCCCAGACCTCCCCCAAAGCTCCCCCTGCTTGTCCTCCAGAGTAGGCGATTCACCACCCAGGCTGTGCCTAGGGCAGGAGCTGCCCAGTGATCTCCCAGAATTACAATCTGTAATTCTGTAGGGTTGCCAGATCTGGGTCGGGAAATCCCTGGAGATTTGGGAGAGAGGGTCTGGGGAGGATAGGGACTTCGGGGGGGGG